TTATTTATTTCATGATTGATTTTTCTTGTGAAACTCATAGGTAAACTTGGATCTTGGCAAATGTTTACACAGATATTGATTTATACAATAACTTATAATACATACCTATAATGGTTATAACTTGTGTTATAAGTTATACATAATATTACATACCATTCCATAAACAAATTATGTCTGGAGTTTATTGGTGTCTAACCTATTTTTTAGTATTACATAGCTTGGAATAGAGCCAAGATGTACTTCCCGACAATTTATTCTCGATCTCGTAACTTTTATGTCTGCAATAGGTAAAATAAATGGCTTCCATGTCTAGCATTTTTGTGTCATGCTGTCTGGACATTAATATTTCGAATTATATCCTTTGTTCAGCCAATTCTTTACTATTCTGTTGCATTAAATATATTACACTAAAAGAAAACACGTATCATACGTTTTTGGACTGGGTATATGGTTCTTTTAACAGCATTAGCCAATAATTTCGATTTACATAAGAAATATTCACTGCACACATGACTAGATAAGCAGTATTCAATCAAATTGATAAGGCTAAATATATCAGTATTAGATGAAGTTTATCAGATAGCTGGAATTCGCTAAAGGATTCCATTCATTACTTTTACATTTTAGGTCAACTTCATACCAAATACATGCCTACTATTAGTATGGCTAGAAGCTGAGAGAAATCCATATTTATTACTTAGTGACCTAGTTTCCTGACATGACGCCGAACCTAATATATTCATTCAACTGACCTATATATTCTGTGATACTTTCATTAAGAGAGTTCAATAAAGTAATCTTTATAATATAAAAAAAACTAAAGCAGCGCGTTATTGTTCGGACTGATTGAGTATAATTACACCCATTGAAGTTACGCACCCGTGACATTACTTAGGACATTTTTCATTTCATAATTGCGGTCGACATATAATTCGTGCTACCATGTTTCATGCTATTGACCTCGAAACTAGTTTTTATGTAATGTTGACTTGTCACATGTAGAAGTTAAATGGTTTAGCTGTCTGTAAATTCATTTATTTTAGCTACAGTTTTTAGTGAGAAACTTCTGTTTTGTTTGTTCATATTTTGAAGTGAATAGTGATAAAAGAAATGTTCATTAATTTGATATAGAAAAAAGTATTAACCAATACTAATTTTGTTTTCAGGGGTTTCATCCACCTTGGCGCTGGTCTCGCCGTAGGTTTCTCCGGTCTAGCGGCCGGCTTCGCCATTGGTATCGTGGGTGACGCTGGTGTCCGTGGTACCGCGCAACAGCCCAGGTTATTCGTCGGAATGATCCTTATCCTCATTTTCGCTGAAGTATTGGGTCTATACGGTCTTATCGTCGCCATCTACCTTTACACGAAACAGTAAACCCGTTAGCACACTCTTACTCCCGTCGCCCGTGCTCCGAGTTTCTATGCCTCAGAATCTGCTCAGTCACTCAGTCGCGCACAGGGAAGTCGTCGCCGGTAGCGAAACGACCCGCATAGGGCCTCGGAGCACCTTAAACATCTTGTATAGAACTTGTTGGTTACTTGGACGTTAATCATTTATATGTTTTCGCATATCTCCGGCCCGGTGCAGCCTTGATGCTGCGGCCGCACCGCGCCCAGAGACGCGAATTGTATAAATAATTTTTCTATTTCAATTTTATAAATATAATAACGATCACTATTTTCGAATCCCAATCATGGTTTTACAATTTAAACGCTACCGTGCGATGACAGCGTAATTTATTTCTAATTTATTACCGCATTTTGATTTTCGGTGACAGGAGATATTTTGTTTCACCTATCAACATATCAGAAGTTTCTTTGCGCGTTAACAACACCCCCTCGCGAACGTATCTTCGTATTCTACCATCCGACGATATCACTTTTAGATTATTTTAGCGTTAAGGCGAAACTAATGTACAGTTAGAGTAGAAATTTAAGTCCAAACAAGTTATCTTAATAATTTATGAAACATTAAACCCCCAGGGTACTGTGTACCAATGTCTATCGCTGAGAATGTTAAGGTAAAACCTGGCTTAAGTACCATGCTATATAGCTTTCAGTGTTATAGTGGATGTATGTATCCTTATCATACTGTTATGGGCCTGTAAATGTTATCCTCTTTCGAGTGGCTGTTGATAAATTAAAAGCGAGTCACAAACATTGTATTGCCAGGAATCAGTAAATAAACATGGTTTGTACATTCCATATTATTTTGTTTCTACTTGATTATACTGTGTGTTTTATTTTCCTTTTCGATCTTCATGCGAGCAATATAAATAAAGTATTCGGAAGGCGGATGCTTTCATGACATTATATAGCAACTATCGCATTCAAATTATTACTATATAATATTAAATATTTAAATAGTATTATTACAATTCTGACGACTTATAATGTGAAAAAAAAGTATTTCAAAATATATTTATTCTGTATACCTCATAGTCGAAATGATGTTTGAATGATTATAAATTGGTAAGTAAAATACATTTAGGTAAAATTGTATTTTATTTTAGGTTTCATGTTAGAGAATGTTATAATCTTTGGTGTTATTGAATGAATTGTGTTAATAAAATATTTTGAAAACAACTAATGTAAATTATGATCAATTGTTTCACTCTGGTCCATTCTTTTATGTTTTGAAATGCATTTTTCAACTGAAACCAACACACTCCTTTCAAATATGGCTATTCACTATTGCATTTCAAAATGTAAATTCATTTACCAATAGTATACATTCAACAAAATTACAAATATTGCAAATTTCATAGTAATACAATAATAGCAAGAAAAAAATACACCCATTTACTAATTTTTGAAAGAACTTCAATAAATAAATTAAAAACCTAAATTAAAACTACCTACCTACATATCCAAAATGTTTTTATGACTTACGAGTGAAGGCCAAGGAAATCTTAGTTTTGGATAGGTGGTCTTGAAATACCAAAGCATTTAGGATTTTAGTGAATAATTATCTTAGTACAAATTACAGCTCACTTATGGCGAAATATTTATACCTTGCACATGAGTTTAATAATAACTGGGATTTGGCCAAATCCCTAAGAGATTTGATCAAATCACGGAGGATGTTAAAATAACAACAAGCTTTTATCATTTCCCATTTACATTTCAGATGAGATAAATTTTTTAGAGATGTGGTTTGAATGGATTTTTTTCTAAGATTAGCCTACCATTAAGTTATTTGACCGAATAAACATCTACAAAATATAACTGACCAAGGAATAAGATGCAATAAAATCTTAAATGCCTAGCTCCAATGGTCCCCCGGTAACAATACGTCACGAAGCTGTTTCATCAAAAGTAACCAGATGGAAGCCGCCCTGAACTGAGAATTTAGAAAATAACTACCGGGATTTCACGAAATCTTACTAATATTAGAAATGCGAAAGCTACGATGTTTGGGTAGGTATTTCTCAATCATGTCATAACGGCTGGACAGATCTGGATGAAATTTGGCAGGAATAGGACATACCTAGGCTACTTTTTAACAACATACCACGTGGGCGAAGCCGCGGGCGGAAGCTTATTGGCTATAAAAGATCGAAGCTATGCATATGAGCGATATTCTTGAGAATGAAGATGCCAAGAGCAAAGGGTTCTTGATTTTTTTGATTTCCAGGTCTGCTAATAGGTATTAGGCTTTTTCAACTTCTAGTCAAGTTGTATGACAAAAAATGTGTACTTCAAGATAACGTTCGGTCCGCGTCAACCTTCTGGTATGCCAATAGACCACCACAGACGGGTCCCTATGGGGCTGATGATCAGCCGAGGTTGCGGGGCAAGCGCAATGAGTTACCGCGGCCTATTTTTTAACCCCCGACGCAAAAAGAGGGGTGTTATAAGTTTGAAGGAAGGATTGAGCCTCCGGTAACCTCATCCACACGGCGAAACAACGCTGTGGTGTTGTTTGATAAAAAAGGAGGCTGATTGTCCACTTTTATTAGGGTGACAATAAGATTTGATAAACTAAAAAATTGAAGCGTACACGGACTAAGTTGCTGGAAAAGGCAAGTACCTATCATACGCCCTAATTATGGCACTGCGGGCCATTTCATCCTTACTCTCTTGGCAATTTACTCTGCATAGGTTTGTTTGAGAGTTATTACTCTCTATCGGATTCAGTTTCGGATCGGTTCGTATTGGAGGATTATAATTAATCTCGACATCTTCACCTGGGCTTGCTGTGTGTGATCGCCGAGATCATGATTTCTATGTTGCTTATTAAATATTGGTATGTACTGATGTTACTCAATAAATGCTTAACTTACACAAATCAAATAATTCTTGGAAGTATTCCGACTTGGATGAATGACCCAAGTGCTTAAAAACATAACATTTTAAATGGATGGAATGCATGGTATGGGGTAAAAGGGATAATATTACTTACTAGCAACTCTCGCGCGGTTTCACCCTCTGCTCGGTTCCATTTAATCGTAGCGTGATGTTTTATAGCACTCAGGAACATTGTAGCTATCTATCATTGAAAGAATTTTGGCAATCCGACCAGCGATTATAAAGATTACCCCCTACATACAAACTTACAATAATATTATTAGGTTTAGTAGATTGACCATTGTATGCGTAGGTTTCAAGTGTTTATGAGCCATGCTTAGGTACGAATGGGTCGGCTTAAATGGCCTCTAGAAAACATAAACAACCACAGCCTTTTGTTTCGCCATATTATGAGTGAGGTTACCGGAGGCCCAATCTTCCAGACCCTCCCCCAATCCCAAAAAGGTTGGCAACGCACTTCTTGTCACAACCCTTGGGTGTTAAGTGTCCATGAGCCGATTGACTTGTGTTTACCATTAGTGAAGCCACCGGCTCGCTTGCCGTCATTATGTTAGTTGAAACTGTGGGTGATACATAAATCCAGACTGACATTTTTTATTTGGTACAACACCTGGGTTATGAAGACTTTTTTTCCAAACTGACTTCATGAATGCTTATTTATCACAGGTACACGTCATTTATTTCTGACATTTGGTCTGAGGTGGCAAACGTCAAAATCGAATAGTGTTTGATTCTGGGATTTGCATTTAATTGCTAATTTCAATAAATAAAGTGACAAAATGAAGTATAAACTATTATTATTCTTAACTGTAATACTTACATATTATGAAGGAAATGCACAGAGCCGTGGTAAAGGGGTAAGTTTTTGTCCAACTTTGTGACAACAAAAACCCGGCGTTTTCTAGTTCACTTAAGACATAAATAGGCAAATATCTATAAAGAATCAAAGGATTCCTTTAACCTCCACTAAACTTTTCGTTTGAATTTTGAAATAGTAGTAAATTACTTAATAAAAATGGAAACGTTTTGAATTTCATAGCATCGTATTATATTAGGTATATTTTCTACATGATCAGTAAAATTAAAAAGAGCTTTTACACCAAAATTGCTTCTTTTAAATATTAAGTATGTTGAGCTTATCTTAAAACGTCAATTTCTGCATATGTTTTGCATGAAAAACCTATTGGAAAGATCACACTGAATATTAATAAGAGGTTCATAAAACGATAAACACAAGTGTCTGGCCAGTTCATCTGTCATATTGTTATAATAAACTAATCTCATGCCCCTGCTTTGAACTGGTATTTAATTACTTTTCTGGTTGCCATGCACCAAATTTTCCCTCTACTTATAAAAAAATCTTTCAAAAGAGCCTACCATGTCTCCTCAAATAATATACACAGCAAAAATAATTGTCAAAATTGGTCTAGGCATTGTTGAGATATGTGCTTACACTGAACACATTTGGTGATTCAAATGAATATATAATAGATAATGTATAAACCTAATCATTTGCTAATTTTTCCAGCTTGAAGAAAAAGTCCAGCAGTTAACAGACCTTACGCTTAAGAAGTCAATAGTATCTCTTAACCTAAATAAATTCAAGGAGTATGTGAAGTCTCCGCCCAGAGATTACTCCTTTGTCATAATGTTTACTGCCATGGCTCCAGCTCGTCGCTGTGCTATCTGTCAACATGTTTATGACGAGTACTTGATTGTAGCCAACTCCTTCAGATTCTCACCAGCGTATAACAACAAGCTATTCTTTGGTATTGTTGATTTTGATGAAGGTTCTGATATCTTCCAAATGGTAAGTAATATATCTTATTTTTTGTAAAGTCAGTTCTATTCATTTTTCATAGTTTTAATAAACCAGGAAAAATGATTATAACTCAATTTACCTATATGGTTTTTAGCTTTTTTCCATAGTCAGTTAAAGAATTGACAAACATGTTATTTTTATTCACACCATGTATTTTTTTTTTATTTTTTTATTTTCATTTATTTTCAAAATACATAAATAAAAGCACTTTTATCTTAATTAATTGTTGGTTCCACATTGTCACTATAATTGATTATGTCTACTTCCAGCTACGACTCAACACTGCACCAGTGATTATGCACTTCCCTGCAAAGGGTAAGCCTAAACCAGCTGATTCCATGGACTTTGAGAGATCTGGAATACATGCTGAAGCTATTGCCAAATGGATACAAGACAGGACTGATGTTCAGGTAATATTTTTTATTCAAAAGAATGATGTGACATCAATAATTCATCCGTGCCAATTAAATCAAAGAGTAAAGTTCCCCAAGATCGGGAAAGGGAAGAATCATCTGATCATGCCAGAACAACATTAAACATAGAACCAAGCTCATAATGTTAACAATTCAATCAAGTGTTTATTGCTAAAAAAATTAAGCAATAAGGATTATAGCAATTGGTTCCGCGCGCAATGAGGCACCGCGATCCCGGCCCAGAGCAGGAGAAGGAACAGGGGGTTTTTAGTCAGTAAGAATCTGACACTCCCTCCCGCCCGGCCCTGGGCGGGAGAAGTCATTTGATGATTTTCTCCTCACAAAAAAAAAACTACTCTGGTGTAGCCGGTGCTATAGTAGCGTAGCAGTGGTAAATGCTTACCATCAGGTATAATACAACTTCCCGTTAGCCGACTTATCACATAAAAAAACTAATTACTAAGCCGTGTTGGCTTCGCAAATCGTCGGCGTCAAACTACCACAACTTTGTGTTGTGTGAGTAAGGTTACCAGAGACATAATCCTCGGAAATGGTTTGAGCATTAATCGCCACGCTTGCTCAAGAAAGATTTTTACTTACTATTAGGAATTATAAGTCCAGGTTTCCTCACGGTGTTTTCCTTCACCGTACCTCTGTCAGTGGTGTCTAAATAATGATAGAAAGTACATATGTCTTGGAAAAAGTCAAATTGGTACTTGCCCAGTTTCAAACCTCCTTATGCATGAGAAACGGGTGCCTTTGGGCACAGTATAAAATATATATGTTATAATATGTTTACTGTGCTTCGGATCACAACGACGTATCTTTTTAATTTGTATGCTTTTATTTTCCAGATCAGAGTGTTCAGACCACCAAACTACTCGGGAGCTGTAGCATTCTCAATGCTATTCATATTGGTCGCCGGATTCCTCTACCTCAGAAGGAATAACTTGGAGTTTCTATACAACAAGCAAATGTGGGCCGTGTGTGCTGTGTTCTTTTGTTTCGCCTTTGTGTCCGGACAAATGTGGAATCACATTAGAGGCCCACCGTTCTTCCATAGGACTAAGAATGGGCCTGTGTACATCAATGGCGGGTCCCATGGACAGTTTGTCCTTGAGAGCTACATTGTTGCTGTTTTGAGTATCCTTTTTGAAATACAATTTATGTTAATATTCAAATATGGTGTAATTGACTGCATGTGTTTGGCATAGTGGCTGGCCAACTGGCTGCTGTGCAACGTGTCGCGGGTTCGATGAGAAAATGGTATGTAAGGCAACGTATTAATTGGGTCTGCGGACGGCTAGAACCAGATGGGTGATTCTTCACATCAATTAAAAAAAAATTAATAATGTCATTATCCTCAACCGAAAATTAACGAGTCTGCTGATTAAAACACAGATAATTATTTTATTAAATTAAATCTCACCACTGCTTACAACCAACCGATTAAAAATATTGTATAAAAAAAAACCGACTTCAAAAACAAAAAAGTGTCAAATAAGTAATTAAAATTGATATTTTAATAGCACTCTTACGTACGCGAAGCTAATACTTTTAATATTAATAATAAAACACTATCAATTCTATGTGCTACCTGTTCATAGGTTTGAAGTCGGTGCCAAGCCTAGTACATAATATTTATAATAAGCATGATTACATGAGTACCTAAACTCGCCGGGCGCGTTTGAATTTATTTGTTAGGATTTAAGAAATTTTGTACCGATTTTCTAACTTGATGGCGTTAGCGTAGAATCAGAAGTCTATATGGTTTCGTTACCGGCGAAACTGTATATAGCTTAGAAAGATATTTGGATGAATTATGAATTCTGATAGTTTTCTCGTACTTGGTTGTTAAAAGTAGTAGTAGGTAGCTGCGTTGTTAGTTGTGGAAATTTCGTCTTTTAGCAGTTAAACAGTCTTAATTCTCATTTAGTTTTATTCTGTTTAGGGCTTGGCACCGACTTCAAACCTATGAATAGGTAGCACATAGAATTGATAGTGTTTTATTATTAATATTAAAAGTATTAGCTTCGCGTACGTAAGAGTGCTATTAAAATATCAATTTTAATTACTTATTTGACACTTTTTTGTTTTTGAAGTCGATTTTTTTAAACGTAGTTTTTTTTATTTTTTTCTTTTTAGTGTCTGTTGGAATTTCTTCTGTAAACTACAGTAATATTTTAAATATAAATTAACATATTGAATAGTATGTATTTTTAAGTAGCTATGTGTAGGCCAACGAAAGGAGCCGCCCGATTAAAAAATATAGATCCCAAGAAATGGGAAAGTTCTCATCATCATCATCATCATCAGCCATTTTAATGTTCCCAGTACTGGGACACAGGCTATCTCTCTAGGAGAGGGAAAGTTCTTAACAATATAAATAAATTAAGTCCAAACACGAGGTAGCTACTGTAAACCGTTGAGGAGTTCCCTAGACTGTCGTTCGTCTTCATCATCAGATCCCTAATGACAGTCACAATCCATCAAGGTGTAAAGTTCTCATCAAAACGAATAAATTAAGCCCAAACACAAGGAAGCTGCTATGAATCGTTGAGGAGTTCTCTCGACTGTCTCTCGTTTCCATCCGGAATTCTCTCGACGGTCAATTGTCTCCATCATCAGGTAAACTGCAGACCTTCAGTTGTTATGATACATACCTACAGGTACAAAGTTTTCATCAATATACATGAATTAAGTTCAAACACGAAGTAGTTACTGTAAACCGTTCAGGAGTTCCCTGAGCTGTCCTTCGTTCTCATCATCAGACCCTTAATGACAGTTACGACCAAGCCTGCTGCAAAGTGCTCGCCAATACGAATCATTCAAGCCCAAACACAAGGCAATTACTCCAAATAGTCAAGGAGATCCCTCGACTGTCTTCCGGCTCCAACATCTGGTCGACTTCGACCTTCGTCATGTTGTAGTGTTGTTAAAGGCCTACTTAAACATCATACAAAAAACCTACTCGCCCCTACAATTTTCGAAAGTTCCCCTCGGTTTTTCCAGGATTCCATCATCAGATCCTGACCTCATGACAATGGGACCAAATGGCAAGTATACCCTATCGAATAAAAAAAGAATTTTGCAAATCGGTCCAGGCGTCTTCGAGTAATCGGTGTACATACATAAAAAAAAAAAAAAAAAAATACTCGTCGAATTGAGAACCTCCTCCTTTTTTGAAGTCGGTTAATAAATTACTAAGATGCTTAAAAACCTGGGAGGATAATGACTTGTTAAATAAAAGTTAAGGTTTTTTGGAGAATCACCCAGATCCGAGAGCACGGCGCGTAGCGTTCCGCGCGCGCCTCAAAGAGACAATGGACCACCACAGACGGGTCCCTATAGGGCTGATGTTCAGCCGGGGTTGCGGGTTAAGCGGAATGAGTCACCGCGGTCTCGGCTCAGAGCAGGAGAAGGAATGGGGGGGTTTTTCGTCAGTAAGAGTCTGACACTCTCTCTCTCGCCTAACCCTGGGCGGGAGAAGACATTTGATGATTTTCCCCTAGAAAAAAAGTCAAAGTATTAATTTAAAAAAAAATTGCTGTCGTGTAAATATATTAAAGGCCATCTACCCAATTGTAGCTTATCTGATGGTACTAGTAGGACACGTCATCATTTAGATTTTTTAAAAATACGAATATTACACAAATATCATTACACTAACACTGTTTGATCCACAAATTGTTGTTTCGGGTCTGAGTGTGATGTGAGTGTGAACTTGTATGTTTGGAAACGCACCCACGACAAAGGGAAAAAATCCTAGTATAGGCGTTTAAATAAAGAAAATTTCCTGAACAACTATATCAGACGGTGCAGTTGTCGTGGGTATGATACTCATGATTGAAGCGGCAGGTGGAGTCAAGAATACAGAAGTGGTTCGTTCCCAGGCTGAGGGCAAACGTCGCCGCTTCCAATCCGTCGTGGGTTTGGTGCTCGTCTGTGTATTCTTTTCTCTCCTGTTATCTGTGTTTAGAGCTAAAACACAGGGCTATCCTTATAGGTAGGTATTTATACAAACCCTTTGTTATTTCATACGAATCTGCTTTATTTTCAAAAACAGCAGAAACAAAGTTCACTGATCTATCGCAATTATTGAGATTTTCGACTTATTTGTAAAAAGATAAAAGTTGAAAATCTATCAACAGCATTTGCTGGCGTACATACTGTATCAGATCTTTATGATTTAGATTTCTAAATGATTCAGTAAAAATAAAACTAATGCCCTTATAAAAAAGGTTCTTTTTTGTCGAGGTTTAAACCATTGAGCCAGGTTTTGTATTTTGGATCTTATTGTCACCTACCTTCAATATGAAATACAAACTGGCTCAATGGCTTAGACCCAGACTAAAGAAAAACCTTGTTTTGTAATACCTAAGCTTAATTTTTCAGTGATTAACATTTCTGATAGAAAAAATCTTTATATATAAAAATGGATCGCAAAATGTGTTGGTAAGCGTATAACTCAATAACGCCTGGACCAATTTTGCTAATTTTTTTTTGTTGTGTTTGTTGTTGTTAGGAGAAGGTTTTTATCAAAGAAAATATTAGAAAAGTGGAGGGGACGATTAAGAAAAAGTGACGCTTTGATAGCGAGATAGTTGGCCCCGTGCGAAGCGGGGGCGTGAATACCATTTTTTGGTATACTAATGTAATTTTCTTTTTAATTTCAGCTTCCTTTTCAAGTGAGGAGTTCGAATACTAGTGAATAAGACCGACGTGTTAGTCGTATGTGTGTGTGCAATTATATTTCATAATGATGAGTGTCCGTATTTTGTTCCTCGGTTGGTCAATAAACTTGTTTCTATTTATTATTATTTGTTTCTTTCTAGTAGCGCTTGTAATAGCAGCTTGCTGGAAACTCTCAACTCTAAATAATAACGCCAAAATTTGGTTGCAAAATCACAAATTCCCTTTGCAGAAAACTTAATTACAAAAGAATTATAATATTTGCTATAATTAGCAGACCAGCCATGATGATTGAAAATTATTTAGTTTTACGTTTTCTCTTCTGTAGAAAAGGGTGACAAACGAACAGACGGATCACCCAATGGTAAAATGGCGCCACCCTTTGACACTCACGATATCAGGGAAGTACGCCTTTTGGGCGTGAGGGATTTGGGAATAGGGCCGAGGATTGGAACCCCAGTCAACTCACTTCCACGTAGAAACAACGCAAGAGTGGTTTCATGCGGTTTTTTGTGAGGCCGTGGTATCACTTCGGTCGAACTAACCCAATTTTTGCCTCTTCTTGAATCATTGCGCTTTTACACTTTTACCTTTTGCAGTTTCTGGCGTGATTGTGTACAGACCAATCATTAACATCAATCCATTCATAATTTTCGCATTTGTAATATGAAAACAAATGCCATAGCCTCAATAATAATGACAGACAGTAACAAATAACAAGATGTTTTATAACAATAAATATATTTTATTTACTTCTCTAATCTCTAATAAAATTACCTATTGTTTTCAGAGCCTCTTGGACAAAATAGACTAACTTATGTCATATTGTTTCACTAATCAAAGAAATAAATAAATAATCCTTTATTTTATTTTTCTTCAATATATTATAACAATTTTATATTAATATTCTGTTTGTTTCTTAACATCTACACAAATAAATATAATTTAAAAAATAAATGCTCAGTCTTCTTTTTACAAAATCGCGCGGGAAATTAGAGTACGCGCGGGAAAACTGCATATCTGTTGGTGGGGTACTTTTCAAATGACTTCTTGTACCACTCGTGAGCTTGGATGGCGGTTTGAATCTGTAATAAACAAAATAATATTTTAGAAAGCTAAAGAATTTTAAATAGGTGATCACCTACCAGCTCTTACTAGCTAAAAAACCACCCCTTCAGCTACAGGCCACTAATTGCTACCTTATTGCGCTTAATGGATTGGCAAAAGGATAGCTAGCAAGAAAAAGTTTAAAGTTGCTAACTAAATAAAATATTCGATTCCAAAAAAATAACCATTGCAGCCTTGTCCTGACTGTAGTTAATATTTAGATCTATTAGATATTTTTTCATTTTTCATTAGACTGAATTTTGCTTCAGAGTCGGGTTGTTAACAATGACTTGACCAATGATGTCTGTTACATAAATCAAAATAGACACAAGTAGCCAATAACCGCTTACTAGGTAGTAATACAACCGACATTCGATGCCTAAATAAGGCGCATTGAATGAGCAACATAAATCCGCTTCATTATTGGCATATTTTTATGAACACAATTAAAAAAATAACATAGTTCAACGGAAATATAAATGATATTTATTACTTCCAACTGTTCCTGTCTTGAATAACTAGATTAATGTTTCTAAAAGTATAAGAATTACGTAAACGAATACGCCTTTCGAAGATATAAACTTCGCTTGTGAGTTCCAGATAGGGACAAAGATTGTCAATTTAATGTTATCAATCTCCAAGTTGTGCAAAATATGATAGGGTAGTGTTCAATTTTCGAAATTCTTAGTAACAAACCTACAATACGTAAACTAGAATTATCTCTGGTTTAAGCATTTTAAGCTTATGAGTTCTCATACTCACAAGCTATAGCATAAAAATAGCTATATCTACAAAACTACTAGTAGTACTCCCTAAGCGGATGTTCTTTGTAACCTTTTCACCTCATCGCGTTTTTATTGCTCCTGAAAGCCTAATCGGACATTGGTGTCCTCCTTCACCCACTTATATCTCACCTTAGAGATTAAAATACGGATTATATCACATTTTTTTTAAATAAAGTTTTTGATGTTATTTTATGCTTGATGAGAAATGGGCTAGACAAGAAAAAGACAATGGAGTTTCTTGCTCGTTCTTCTCCATTCAAATATGGAGTTTACTGACGAATAGACTGACAGACTACTATTCTATTTTGAGATTTCAAAGTACCTATTTATGGTTTAGTTGGAAAAATTATGTTGACTTTGAATTGAAGTACGTACCTGATTACCCAAGACCCACAAATAAATGCAGAAAAAGGTCTTCGTCGGGACGAGCATCAGTAGAACAGTGTACAGAATGATCTCGCACATTCTATGCGGACTCGAAACATACTCGAACATCCTACCATGAGGGATCTTGTGTTCCTCCGTCACCACTTGTCCAGACTTCTTGTCTTTTCGCAAGTTTGCGAAGATTATATTCGTTCTAAATTGTTCGTACCATGTGATTAGAAATATCACTGTGCAAGGTACAGATAAGACCGTCGTGCGGAGGTCGTTCCATTTAATCGAGTCCCGGTTTTGCTGACCTGTAATTTAGACAATGATTTTTCATATCTAAAATACATTGCATTGTGAGATTAGCAGTGGATTTATAAAATACTAGCAGACCGACCCGAAGCATGCTTATTTCGTGATAAAAAATTGATGTAATTCTATTGCGACATTAGCGCTGTTTGGAGCTGTGCTTAAGGTAATGTGAAAACTATGAGTTTCGAAATGCAAGATTTTTGATTGTAAGTATGTAGAGGTACCTAATGATGTTCAATAAACTTACCACAAAACAGAGGCGCCTGTCCAACCACGGCGATGATACAAGCGAAGTAATGAATGATCCCGGCTAGGTAGTGGCTCAGGTTCATTTTGCTGGACTTGGCAAATACTTGCAAGTAGTAAGTCTCATATAGTCGTCTAACACATTGTACTGTGAGTAGAGACAGGGCTATCAGGGCGGCTGTCACTGATACTGAAACAGAAAGGGGTTTCTATTAATTGACTGCCCTATTGATCAAAGGGGACTACTGAGTCTTGAGTTCTGTTAGGGTCAGTTCACGCAGGGTCGCGACGCTGCAGGCACACTTCAGAAGAGCAAATGAAAAACTAATTAATTTCGACAAGACAATATACGCACGATATTTCTACGAAAGCAAAGTTTTTGGGGGTATTTTTGGACAATTTAATTGTATGTTGTACTATCACAGACAATTCATAACTGCAGGAGTAAAACAGGTGCTAACGCTAACAGGTTATTCCGAAGTGAAAAGGTTTTCAATATGATTTTTAAATTTTATCTTTACCTGTTACAAGTATAGCACTTATTTGAAAAATGCTTTGTTTTTTTAACGTATTTTTAATTGAATGATAGAAATGGTGTCTATCAGTGAAGACTTTAGAAAGTTGTACTAGATTTTATTTATGTATCATTATTTGAAACATTTTTCTATGTCAAATTGAATGAAACATGGCTTTATTATTAAGATTTAGGTTGTCACGGTTCTTAAAGAAGCTCATAATAATATTCAAATTTGAAATAAAAAATATTTAAATAACTGCCAAGAAGGCAAGAATTCCAGCTTGTGAGTCATTGTGCCAATATTGAGTAGGTACATAAGTTTCTGTTTAACATAAATGAGTATGTTTACCATAATATGTATTTACTTTATCATAGACTTTACATGTAAATACCTAATTCAATTTCATTATAAATTGAACAAAATAAAAAGAACATTGCTCTGCTCTTTGGTTTTTCTAACAAGCAACTAAAGATGACAACCCTTAACAAAATATATCACAATAGTTTTCCTAAGCAATTTAAGTTGGTATGTCTTGCACCACATTGGTTTTGCAACACTGAGCCTTAGAGAGCCTCTTTATAGTCAACCCATTGTCATACTGAATACAAATAGTCTAAACTACAACTTATACATGCTAATAAACCTAGGCTACCTTGGATTCATTTATTGAGAGGGTTTTTAACAATAAATACATGTATTAATAACATTGTAATAAGAGGATAGATATAAAGGGAAGTAAAAAAATAAAAATTCTAAAAAATTAGATGCATCGACTAATGGCTTTGCCTGATGTATCCATGTGTATGTGTGTGTGTTATTCCAAAGTACAATCTATCTCTGTGTCAAATTTCATTCAGATTATCTCAGAAGTTTTTGTGTGAAACAGTAGGTAACAAGTTGTCTGTACATACTAACAAGCAACTATTTATAATATTAGTAGGACTTAGGTTTGTCCTTGTTTAAAGTGAAACAAAAGTAGGATGGATGGATATGATATTAATTATTATGATAAAACCAGAAGTAATAAAATATTTATTTTACTTATTTCCTGTAATTATGTATAGAATATTAATTTTAATTTGATACTATTATCCAGGGGTAATTGAGTTACAATTAAATGTGAAGTATGAAAGAATTGATGATATTGGTTATTGAAATATATTACATATTTAATGAACATGTTATAAACAGTTAATTTTAGATCTATGTTAAATGATAGTATAATGTTAGAAAAACTGTGTTTGTAAGATAAATTGTCTTGACACAGTAAACAAGTGAAAGGACTAAGCATACCAACTGTGGTTTACTTTCAAATACTTAGTTGAGCTAGATTCTAAGCCCACTTATGTTTCAAAGTCCTCCATAAATATAATAAAGAATTATGACACAAACACAACTCACCAGAAGGTTCATTTTCCTGTAGCAGCAATCTCAACGCGAAGTGAATAGGAAAACTAACGGTTACCCCGAAGAAGTATACCATAAACATATAGGCCAACATCGAAGCACTAAATATTGTTGAAAATAAATAAAAATGTCTATAATAAGCCTTTGGTATCTCAATAACCTGAAGGTAATTAGCGTCAGAGCCTTGGTACGCGAAGCTTCCATATCTGTACCCCTTTATTATAAAAGCAGGAACATATTTCTCGAAATTATTTATGATAACACCGGTAAATGTAACCGCGAAGGCAAGATTTAGAAAAATAAAATCTATAATGTTTATATAGTCGTCCATAATTTCTGTATTTTAATAAATTACGCGAGTGTTATAGAATGCAGCGGGATGTACGTGTTGTGATTGTAAACACTTCTGAGACACGAATACGAGATCTAACGGGACACCCAATCAT